GTCTGGCTAAACAAAAATACTATGTAGTCACATTTTATTCCTGTTCTACCAATCTTTTCAAAAATCTGGCCTTTTACCCTCCTCACATTTTCCTATGCAAAACAGTTCTGCTTGGAAATAATTTCCTGTAAAATATAAGCTTAACTGACTTTTTTTTTTTTATTAAACAGAATCAACTCTTCTTTTATATTTTTGAGAGCAGGGAGAGGATTATGGGAACACAGAATGACTGTGAATAGCTTAAAAAATAACACACGGATGAATATTTTAAGTCTCTATAATTTCACTTTTTAATTAACTGGATTACTAAAAGATTAGTATTATATTACATTTCACACCATTGGCCAATAATATCTGAGATGTAGCACAAGTATTTTCTTTTATATTTTGGATTTGCTGTCTATATGTGTTAACCCATGTACAGCCTGGGAGGACAGTTAAACAAAATGTAAAATGCACTTCAAGATTTTCATAATCGTTTTTAAATGAAAGAGAAATATTGCACAATGCAAAATTGAGAAACTGATGATTCCACTATTACGTAAAACGTTCTATGTTTTGAATGCTCTGTTAGAAGTATCATTATATATTCTCTGAAAGGTCATGAGAGTCCATAGGCTGTATTAAATGATTTCATCGCAAAGTTGTTTTTAATATTTACTCCTATTGTTTTTTGATCAATTACAAACGTAGAGTCAAGGGCAGAACCCATGCTAAATGGAAAATCTAAGCACCAACACATTAATGTATTTTATAGAATTTGGCTTAAATAATTAGCTGTGCGACACCAATTCATACCTCCCATGTGTCTCTATTTAGGAGGGGAAGTCACTATTTTGGGCCCAGATCCCTCTGTCCCTCTTTTCTATCCTAATGTCCTTCTTTTCTAAGAGCTCCACATTGCTGGTGTGTAAGAAATATCACCTGAGCTCAAGAGCAATTACTGCAAAAATAAAGAATTATAAAATCACAGTGATGTATTGTTAAACTGCAATAAATGCAGGACCCCCAACAGTTCCAATTTCGGTGGGACAGTTCCACAGTCCCTCTTTAGGTTCCTGGTGTCCTGCATCTGTCCTGCACCATTAGATGCGCTCAAAATATGAAGCACGCACTAAGGACCATGCAGGGAGCGCTTCTGCAGTGGCTGTCAGAGGACATGTTGCAGGTCACATCACTGACAATGCCTCATCAAGGTTCTGCCTAATCCATCATGATACTACCCTCCTGATTATTGGAATGGTATGTACATGTGTTTATAAATCAGTCTGTGTAAGTAAGTACATTGTCTATTTCCCAATTACATTTTAGTTGCATAAATTATTATCATTAGTAAGTCTAAAATGTTTCAGAAAAGCCCACTGACCAAACCCCACTCACACCCCTACATTTAAAGCGCCCCTCTTTGAACAGTTAAAATGTTTGGATGTATTTGGACTGCATTTGATATACATATGAACTACAACTACTAGATATCCCTGCCTAATCCTTAAATCCCTGCTGTTCCTTGTGCAATGCAAATTTCAGAATTTCACCCATTTTATAAAAAAATAAATATCCAAAAATAAAGAAAGAGAATCATTATTTGACATAGTGTGTGTTAGGCATAGGTTCTAAAAGTGAGTCACGGGAGAAAATACCATTATAATTGCATTTTGCCCTCTTATTATTATTATTATTATTATGATATTTATAGAGCGCCGTCAAATTCCGCAGCGCTTTACAATGGGTGGACGAACAGACATGTAGTTGTAACCAGACAAGTTGGACACACAGGAACAGAGGGGTTGAGGGCCCTGCTCAATGAGCTTACATGCTAGAGGGAGTAGGGTAAAATGACACAAAAAGGTAAGGATAATATTTTTTGAATGAGTGGAGACTGGGTGAGGATCTAACGGAGGAGGGAAGCGAGTTCCACAGGAACGGTGCAGCCCTCAAGAAATCTTGAAGGCGAGCATCAGAGGCGGGAGTACGGACAGAAGATAGACGTAAGTCTTCAGCAGATCGTAAGGGCCTAGACGGGACATACTTGTGTATAAGGGAGGATAGATAGGTGGGAGCAGCATCATGTAGAGATTTGAAAGCAAGAACCAGAATTTTAAATTGCGTTCTATATTTTATAGGAAGCCAATGTAGGGATTGACAGAAGGGTGAGGCATGGGAGGTGCGGGCGGACAGGAAGATGAGCCTCGCCGCCGCATTCATTATGGACTGTAACGGCGCTAGTTGGGAGCACGTAAGACCACTGAGAAGCGGATTACAGTAGTCAAGGCGAGAAAGGACAGTTTAATGGACCAACACCTTAGTCGCGTCTGGCTTTAAGTAGGGGCGGATGCGCGCAATATTTTTGAGATGGAAATGACAGGATTTGCCGATAGATTGAATATGATGCTTGAAGGGGAGGTCGGAGTCAAAGAGAACACCTAGGCAGCGAGCTTGCGTGGTGGAGCTGATGGTAGCACCGTTGACTTGGAGGGAGACAGACACAGGAGTAACAACACTTGAGGGAGGAAAGACCAGAATTTCAGTTTTGGTCAAATTTAGTTTAAGGAAGTGGGCCGCCATCCAGTTAGAAACAGCAGAGAGGCAGTCAGAGAAACTAGTCAAGAGGGACGGGAAGAGATCAGGAGAGGACAAGTAGATTTGCGTGTCATCTGCATAGAAATGATATTGGAAGCATTGTTTCTTTGGTTGTATTTTCCCTATATGGACAAAAGAAATTTAGCCAAAATACTGCTATACAAAGCATCTGGACCATAGTTGCACTGTGTGTGCATTTCGTATCAGTCCGGCCGGGTACAGGAAACGGATTTTCCTGTACCACGGACCGGAGAGGAGCTCGGCAACGCTACAAAGGGAAGGGGAGGTGAGGAGAGAGGCAGTGCTGCAGCCACCTGAGGCTCTCTACAGAGCACTCAGGTGGCTGCAGCATTAGGGCCAGCGATGAGGGCACAGGGCGTCCCCTCCTATATAGCGCCCCAGGCAGCTGCCTAGTTCGCCTTATAGAAAGTGCATACATTTCTGGTATAAGGTGTTTAGAGTTAGAGTTGGGTGAAACTCAGTATTTGGGTATAGGTAATATTTAGGATTATTGAGTTTTGGGTTAGATTTGATATAATTTAGTATTGGGGTCCACAAGGTGTTTAGCGTTTTTAGATTTTACCATTAACATGATGTAAAGACATGATTTTATTAATGACACGGAGGCGAGTATTATGCATTCCCTTTCTTTTATCTTCCCTCAGAAAAGATAAAAAGAGAAATATATATAACAACTTGAATGTATATTAAAAAAAATATCAAATTTAACAAATCTGCCTAGGAACAGTGCAGCCAATCAGGATATCAGACCAGTCTATAAAGTTCTGAGCTAGCAGTAAACTTCCTCTTCTTTGCCAGTAAATTCGAAGTCCAGAATCTAGTCCGAAACTTGAAACATCATGAATATCATCAACAAGGTTAAATTCCTCTCTCAACAGTCTAGCTGTGTAGAGAAAAAATATATGGTAAAATCCAAACTTAGGACTCTTTACAATATCAAGTCAACTCGAAAGTTATTAGGCATATATCTGTACGAGCATTATAGAAGATGGATTAAATTAAAATTAATTGTATGAAACATCACAGAATACACTTACCGGCACATACCATGAAGTATCCACAACTTTTGAACCAGTCAAGACAAAACCACCGGGAGGGTGGGAATAATACTCGCCTCCATGTCATTAATAAAATCATGACTTTACGTCATGTTAATAGTAAAATCTAGGAATTGTATTAATGACACAAAGGCTCCTATTATGCTAGTTCAAAGCTGAGCCATAATCCGAGAAGAATAATGGTCAATCCGGCGGAAATAGAAATCCCGAAACATGGACTTGTGTGACCAGTCTGCAGCTCTCAATATATCATCGAGACGACAACCCACCACCGAAGCCTTAGAGTCCATGGCGTCCTTTACAGAATGAGCTGAAAACATTGAAGCGTCTACACCTGCCATGGACAGAAGGTCACATATCCAACGAGCAAGAGTAGTAGTAGGAACAGGGAGATGAGGTATGCAGAATGAAATGAACAGGTGATGGAGGTCGGGTGATAGTAACGTTGAACATACGATCCAAGTAGGAAGGTAAACAAGCAACCGGACACAATATAGGTCTGTCAGTGTACCTCGGATAGGAAACTGTTTTCGTAGCTGACTTAGTTCTACGAGAGATGCTGAAAGAGACTCCCTCCGGAATTAAGGATATTGTGGCCCAATCCAAAGCTCTGACATCTGATATTCATTTGCACGATAGCAAACATAGAAGCATAAGTAGTTTCCATGAAAGATGCTTAAGAGATAATTCATCATTCGGAAGCCAAGAGTCCAAAACATTCAACACCACATTGACATCCCAAAACGAGGAGTATCTTGCTCTTGGGGGTCTAGTGAATCTGATTCCCTTTAGTAGTTGACAAAAGAAAGGGTGTTGACCGACTAGGGAACTTTCCAATCCTTTATTTCTTGCAGAAATAGCAGATATGTAAACATTAACTGTGCGATATGCTTTACCCCATTCAAAAAGTAGCATCAGGCATTGTAATATCGCATTCAGAAGGGCAGAAACTGGATCCAATGATTGTTCCATGCACCAGCCAGCTCATGCTCGTCATGCGGACTGATAGGCAGATCTAGTACCCGGGGCCCATGTGTTGTCCAGGAGTTCTGCAGTTGTTTGTGTAACGTTCGCAATTGTCCAGGGACTCTGGAAACTAACCACACCGTGAGCTCAGGCAGGGCTTGATCTATCAAGGTCATGTGACCTCCCACCTGGATCGAGAAGCAGATTGGAGGCCATTGGTATCAGACGTGGGAAATCCAACACTTGTGTCTGCATAGGTAAGATAGCGTCCAAAAGATAAGGTTGAATGGGGGAAAAGCGTAATGTCGTGAGTGTGGCCACATCTGTAGGAAGGCATCCACTGCTAGAGCTGCCAGATCCTGACTCCAACTGTAGTACCGAGTGAGTAGTCGCCAGTCCCCTGTGTCCTCTAGGTTTCTGGAATTCCAATCCACCCATGTGTATTCCAAACCCAGGATATGTTCGGCCATCACCTATACATTGTTGTGAAGGCAACCAATTTCGGCTCTATTTTTAACAAAAGTGTGGTACAAACGGAACGCCAGGCACTGTAGTTTTCAGGTCGGGCAAAAGGTTCTGGTACTCAAGCCGGTCTGACAGGACAAACTACAGGAAGCCTGGCAGAGATGTATAAAGTCATTGGGCAGGTATGTGATACCACCTACACTGTAGCTAGCTGCAAGAATGAGGATGTGAAACAGATGTTTCACATCAACATGCTCAAAGAATACAAAGGTTGAAAAGGAAGAGGTAGCTGCAGTGTGCACCCTGGCCTCTGAGTACCCCGATGCCCTACCCTTACCCGACCCTTACCCGACATGCTAGGAGTGTGACCCTAATGAAGGGGCTATAGAGTTGATCCAGGGGAGAGACTGAGGCCGCAGGAGCGAGCTCAAGCAATCCAGCTTCAGGAAGCCAAGCAGGCCACCTTCTCCCAGGAGCCAGGATACACTACTCTAGCGACCCATAAAGTAGACACCCGGGCCAAGGCTCCTTGAGACAGCCCCCATACCGCATTCCTGAGGCAGTCCAGGTAAGAATGCAGAAAGAGATAGCAAAGATGCTCTGCCTAGGGGTCATTGGGTCTCACCTGTAGTCCTGGTGCCAAAACGGGATGACACAACCCGTTTTTGTGTGGATTACAGGTGATTTAACAATAAGTCGGTCACTGATGCCTACCCGATGCCCCAGGTAGACAAATTTTTGGCCTTCATCACCCCATCAGCCCATACCAGTTCAGGGTTATTTTGGGATGAAGAATGCCCCAGCCACCATCCAACGCATGGTCGATCACATCCAAGATGGTCTCTAGGATTATGCCTGTGCATACCTGGAGACATGGCGATCTACAGCGACTCCTGGGAGGCCCACTTAGAACACATAGGGACATTTCTGGATAGGATTAGAGGAGCCGGCTTTACTTTGAAGCCTGATAAGTGTCACATTGGTATGGCGGAGGTGCAGTATCTGGACCACAGTGTAGTATGTGATACCATTGCTAACTGGCCCACTCCCCGTACCAAGACACAAGGCATGGCTTTCTTAGGGACAGCCGGCTACTATAGACGAGTATAGCGCCATGGCCAAAACCCTGACAGACATGACTAAGAAGAATTTACCGAGACAGGTCCTGTGGTACCCAGAATGTAAGGCGGCCTTCCAATCATTAAAGCAAACACTTGTGAATGCACAAGTTCTGGAAGAAAAGATCCTAACAAATGGTTTATTGTCCATACAGACACTTTGATGTTTGGACTGGGGGCAGTTCTGTGCCAGGTTGGCAAAGATGGAGGAGAGCACCCAGTGGCCTATTTGAGGCGAAAACTACTACCCCGGGAGGTCAGCTATGTGCCCATTGAAAGAGAGTGTTTAGCCCTAGTGTGAGCACTGGAGAAATTAACCCCATATCTCTATGGCCGCATGTTCACACTCATCACTGACCACAACCCCCTGGAGATAATTCCCGTCTTCTGAGGTGGTGTCTAGCTCTACAAGCCTACGACTTCACCATACACTACCGACCTGGAAACAGAACGGGAATGCGGATGCACTATCCCGCCAGACTGAGCTGGTAACTTAACTAGTTAATTGTACTGTCTGGACAGCCCCAAATTGAGCCGAAAGGGTCCAACCATGCCTGTCAGAGCTGTGAGCAAGGGGGGAGTAGTGTGACAGAATATCACCTTTTGGCTCCTTTTGTGGAAATGTATTCATGTTATTGCTATTTCATTTATTTGGTTCGGTTTCCGAACAAAGACCTCCCCAGAAATCCATTAGAACATGAAACGTTGAGTATCCTGTACGAAAACTGTAACTGAACCAATTAATAGAATGCTTCTCTGGGTGGCCGCGATTTTGTGCAAGCGAACGCATGTGGTGGGGACAATGGATGGCGGCCATCTTGTCTCTTGAACGCAGGCAGCAGGACTTGGTCGTCGAGTGCCTGGAACTAATTTCGGCCAGACACTGCCACGAACACCGGTCACCCTGGACCTACTGCCTGTTCAAGTTCCCCTTCACCTACACGAACGGCCTTTAGGAGATACGTACTACCGAACAAGGGGAGCATTCTACACTAATCCATTTTCACATAACTTATGTGGTTTTTGTACAAAACCCCACGAACAGAGACAGGCTGTTGCCACAACTTCCCTGGAACTATTTGGGGCTTCGACCCCATGGCTACCAAAAAAACTACCAAACAGATCTGGGTGATTATATTGTTCACCCAGATCCGAACTATCCGGGGATATGACTTTTGTGGGGTTTCTATTTATGTTGGTGGTACTTTTGGGGTGGTTAGAAAATGTTAGATTTTTCTGTCCCTGAGAGGTAATTATTAATGTGTATTCCGAAAATTATCTCAGGCACAGAGGATCATGGGAGGGATTTCCCTGCATTTCTGTGTGAGAAACCCCATGTTGGGGCTTTTGCATAAAAGACCGTATGTAGCCCTGAATAAAACAGATTTCTCCCAGCATTAAGCCTTGGCTCATGTGTGAGGGGTTATTTTATTGGGAAAAGGGCATCCATGGTGGTGACACTTTGACAGTCTGCCTGAAGCTCAAGGAAGCAAGGTGAATAGTCAGTATAGGACCCACCTAAGGGGTTTGCTTTGACGTGGCAGGTGGGCTTCCATCTAATGGCCGTGGGAGTTTCTAAATAACCTCCATTAATTTAAATATATATAGGGATTTGGGAAGAGCGCAGGTAACGTTTTTTTCTTTGGTTTCTACTGTATTTATTGGGGCTGTTGTGTACTATGGTTATTGCTACCGCCCAGGAGTAGTGGGAGTTTGAGCACAAGACTTGTTTTTGTGTATTTGCTTTCTTCCGTGTGCCCACCTGCACATCTATCATAAAGTTATATGTCGAGAAAAATCCCACAAATCTGAAGAAAATTACTCCAAAAAAGTAGATTATAACTGGAAATTAAATTGGATAGTAACAAAATATAATGATAAGAACAAAAAAATGTGTGTAAACATACCAAAAGAGAAACCAAAAAAGTATATATATCTATATATAATCGATATATAGATCTCCACAGCTATCAATGGCTGTACCTCCCTAATGTCTATGTAGGTTAGTGTCTAATCAGACTTCTGACTTTAATATAATAATCAGTGTCAATGTCTGAATGATATAAAGAAAAATATATACAGATAACATGGACATCTATTCTGATGTTAACACAGCATTTGTATCAAAATGTCAGAAAAATGGCAGGCTTACAACAAAGATTAAATGTAGTGCTGCTGCCTCATTTTCAAATAGTGCTGTGTTAAACCTGTGACTAAAGGGGGGAGTGAGAGTAACCTGTTATATACTATGCAACAGGCTAGCCATTCATGTAACTGTATCTGGGATAATATTCATTACGTGAATCCCCAACAGAAACAAAATATCCAGTCCTAGTAAATGAACAGTAAAGATAGCAACATTGCCATCCAGACAGATATATTCAATGGACTGATCGTGATTGCCTCTGGTACTAAATATAGAGCCAGGTATATTAGGTTCTCTCCCCCAATAGTACTAGGAAAGAATATACAGGAGGGAAAGAAAAAACAGAAAGAACTGTTAGTGCATCCCAATGTGCAGGACCATACTTAGAGTGTTGGTCTCTGCACATGTGACAGTGTGCCCTGTGAAGTGAGGAAAAAGTGAAGAGAAAAACCCGATGCGCGTTTCGGTGCCGCTAAAGTGCACCTTCGTCAGGGGCTAAAGATTTGGTAACGGCTGGGTCACTGCTTTATATGGGTCAGAGCTACTGACGTGGACCAATCACCGGTCGAAAAAAATGGCGCCAAAAAAGAGAAAAGCGGAACAACACATTATGCAAATGGACCTTTAAGGAAAGGGACCAATCAAGAACCAAGTTTCCGCTGATAGCTTTTTTTAAAAAAAATATATACATGATGACGTAGAATTCAGTAGTTTAACCCTTGCAGTGCTAGTACAAATGAACTTCTCCGGTTAAGAGAAGAATATATTTGTCGCCCGACGGCTATTCTCTATATTATTGTTAATTAATGTGGAATCAGTTATCATTTAAATACTTCCGATATTCAACCATTATGTAATAAGTCTTTATGGTATTCATTAGCCATCTATGGTACAAAGAGATTACATATGCCAAGTCCCTACATATACTAGCCTAAAAAATATACCAAAGGCTTAAAAAACAGTACCAATATACCATATTAGGCAAAATGGCAATACTGTAAAGTGTATGTGTACAGATGTAGATATTAGGGGTGCAACAATGAAATTAAATAGTATGTCTCGGAAAGGCATTGCCTGAACTGCTTACATGATGACGTAAAATTCAATAGTTTAACCCTTGCAATGCTGGTATGAATGGACTTCTCCGGTTAAGAGAAGAATATATTTGGAGCCAGACGGCTATTTTCTGTGGAATCAGTTATCATTTAAATTCTTACGATACTCAACCATTGTGTAATAAGCCTTTATGGTATTCATTAACCATCTATGGTACAGAGAAGTTAAATATGCCAAGTCCCTACATATACTAGCCTAAAAAATGCCAAAATCTTGAAAAACAAAAGAGTGCCAATATACCATATTAGGCAAAATGGCAATACTGTAAAGTATATGTGTACAAATGGAGATATTAGGGATGCAACAATGAAGTTGAATAGAATGTCTCGGAGAGGCATTACCTGAACTGCTTACATGATGACGTAAAATTCAGTGATTTACCCTTTGTAGTGCTGGTACGAATGAACTTCTCCGGTTAAATGAAGAATATATTTGTAGCCCGATGGTTATTCTCTATGTTATTGTTAATTCATGTGGAATCAATTATCATTTAAATTCTTCCAATATTCAACCATTGTGTAATAAGCCTTTATGGTATTCATTAGCCATCTATGGTACAAAAAAGTTAAATATGCGAAGTCCATACATATACTAGCCTAAAAAATGCCGCGGGCTTGAAAAACAAAAGAGTACCAATATACTATATTAGGCAAAATGGCAATGCTGTAAAGTATATGTGTACAGATGGAGATATTGGGGATACAACAATGAAATTAAATAGAATATCTCGGAAAGGCATTACCTGAACTGCTTGCTATAAAGATGCCCATTTGGGTTTGAGCAAGTAAATGAATGCCTTATAGTTATAAACACTGTAGGGGCTCCATTATAAAATTCACGTCTGCAGATATTATCCCTTGATCTATAGCGATATTGGTCTACTGCAAAGGTGACTCGGAAGGAGCAGAATGCATTGTGTTTATTCCCATGTTACTTACAGGGACAATTCCTCTCGAATAAATTACATTTGTACATATATATAGGTGTGCCAGACGCCAGCCTTGCAAGGGTAACTTATTATTAGTATGAATCTTCTTAAATAGCTCAATATAGGGTGCCGTTGTGCATAATTTGGACAGGGAAACAAAAGAACATTGGTAAGATTCGTCTAGTAGCGCTTAAAGATACAGTGCCCAATCTTAACTAGGTGATATTAGACACACATTAGTGGTGTTGATATTTACAATATATATAAAAATTAATTAAAACTGCATGCTCGTTGGGTTTCAAAGGTCGGATTCTAGTCAGAAATAAAGGGAGTAAAAGAAAAACCCTCATTTAGACCTAGAGGGGATAAGGTCTTCAATTTGAAGATCCAATAGCTCTCTCGCTGTAAGAGTTTTTTGTCAACATCGCCTTTCCTTGGACCCATTGTCACTCTTTCTATACCATTAAAACGTAAACCCTGAGCCGATCCGCCATGTTGAATTTTAAGATGACGTGATATCGGTGTATCGATTTGTCTAGATGGATTTACAGAATTAATATGTTCCAAGATTCGATTCTTGAAGGGTCTAATGGTCTTGCCTACATATTTCATATTACAACTGCATGTTATGAGGTATACCAGGCCAGATGTTTGACAATTGAAGAAGGTTTTAGTGATGTGACTTTCTGTGTTTGATGAGTTGGAAAAGGTCTTTGAATGTTTTCTGATAAACTTACAGGCTTTGCAACGGCCACATTTAAAAGTACCCACTACGGGTGATTTCAGCCAGGTCGTCCTTGGAGCAGGTAAGTGCAGGTGACTTGGTACTAAAATGTCCTTCAGATTGCGGCCTCTTCTAGCCGTAATAGATACGAAGGGAGTCAAAACCTCTTTAAGGTGTGGATCCTGATATAAAAGGGGCCAAAATCTCTCTAATGCCCTTTTTGCCATATCCCAACCTGAATCAAAGGTGCCGATGCATCTAATAGATTTCTGATCAGTTCTCTGTATAGAGTTATCTATCAGAAGGTCCATCCTTTCAGTCAGGAGGGCCCTCTGATATGCCTTTTTCAGGCATTTATTTGGGTAGCCCTTAGTCTTAAAATAGGACCTGAGGGTATTGGCTTTTAATTTAAAATCCTCGAGAGAGGAACAATTCCTTCTTAGCCTTAAATATTGGCCAATCGGAATCCCTCTTTTTAGAGCAGGGGGATGGTAACTCTCCCAATTCAAGAAGTTGTTAGTTGCCGTAGGTTTTCGGTAAAGTGTAGTAGAAAGATGATTATCATGGGTAATACCCAGGGTGACATCAAGAAAATTCAGTTTCTGTCCTCCAACCTCATACGTGAATCTAAGATTAATGTCATTCATGTTAAGTTCGTCCACAAACTTATTAAACAGATCATCAGGGCCTGTCCATACTATCAGGACATCATCTATATACCGTTTCCAAAGGATGACGTATTCTGTATATTCAGCAAGTTGAGAATTAAATACAGTATTTTGTTCCCACCATCCCAGGTGAAGGTTAGCATATGAGGGCGCACAAGTCGTCCCCATAGCCGTACCCCTCACCTGGTGGTAGTATTTGCCTTCAAAAAGGAAATAGTTATGTGTCAAGATGAAATGGAGAAGTTTAAGAACAAATATGTTATGTTCCTTTAGAGTGGAATCTCTCATCTGAAGGAATTCTTTTACATGTTTCATCCCTACTACATGAGGGATAGAACTATATAGGCCTTCTACATCTAAGCTGCATAGCTTCGCGTTGGTAGGTATGGTCATATCTTTAAGGATGTTCAGAGTTTGCTTAGTATCCCTCAAGTAAGAAGGGAGAGATTTAACTAGATCCCGCAAAATAAATTCTACATAGACACTACAATTTTGTGTGAGGTTATTGTTACCTGACACAATAGGTCTCCCTGATAGTATGGCTTGTTGTTTGTGGATCTTTGGTAACGCGTAAAAGGTTGCTATTGTCGGTTTACTGTTAAACAGAAACTTAAATTCATCACTTGTTATTAGATTGTGTTGGAGTGCTTCATCCAAGATGTTCTTCAGTTCCCTAAGGTATTTAGTTGTGGGGTCAGTGCTTAGAATGACATATGTGTTTCTATCGTCAAGAATACGATGTACCATTTTGGTATAATCACATCTATTCAAGACGACCGTATTCCCCCCTTTATCAGAGGGTTTGATAACGATAGAGTCATTTTGTTTCAAAGCGTCTAAAGCTCTCCTCTCTGCGGGACTCAAGTTATTATTGTGATGGGTCTGAGGGAGCAAACTTTCATCCATATTATCAATCTCCTTGCAGGTAAGTTCCACAAAGAGATCGATATACTTGAATTCCGAGATATGAGGAGTAAATTTACTTTTCGGTCTCAGAGTCGTGAATGGTGCACCTAGTTTGATGGAAGAATCATTGCTATTCAGAAGATCAACTAGATTATCCAGAAGATCCATATCTTGAGTTTCTAGGCCCAACCTAGTGGCTCGTTTAGTTTTTTGTATGCAATGGAACTTATGAAGGGCTAATTTTCGTCCAAAGAGATGGATGTCCTTTGTCCAACCAAACTTATCAAATTTTGGTGTAGGGACAAAGGACATCCCTCTTCTGAGAACTTGAGTCTCTAAAGGGGTTAGACGATGGGTGGATAGATTTATGATCTGACTCTCCTGGATTAGTAGGCTTTCCTGCGTTTTGGACCCTGTGTATTGGCTCGGTTTCTTGTGTTGCGCTGTGGTCTTTCTTCTAGGTTGGTTCTGGCTAAAAAATTAATCCCTTTCTTAAGGATACTTTTGGGATTTAAATCACTTGAGGTAGATGGACCTTCTACGCTCAGCTCTGATTCAGATCCACTGGTCTCGTATTCAGAAGTGGAATACTTGTCAAAATCCACTCTTTTGCTTCTATTGAATTTACAATAGATGTTACCAGTCTGAAAATCTTTGGAGTCCCTCATAAATTTAGAGTGTTTTCTTGTTTTTATCGTAGTCTGAAATCTATCTATCTGATTCTTAAGTTTTACTTCAAGTTGTTCAAAATTTGTTTCCTTTTTATAGACTTGGATCTTTTCTATCTCCTCATCTACCTCTTTATTAACTTTTTCTAGCTTCTTTTTTTCGTATCTGCATAGTATGTCCATAAACTTGCGTGAACATACTCCCGCTGCTTCTTCCCACTCTTTAATAAATTCAGATTCCTCAATGTGGGGGGCAGGGATATTTTGAACTCTTAGCCCCCTTGGAATAAGTTCTTTGCTTAGATATTTCTCAAGGGAGGCTATTTCCCAGCCAGCTCTTATTTGTTGCTTAAAGAGGAATGTCAGGTGGTTAAAAGCTGAGTTTATATTGGTGTGGGCAATATTCTCCTGCATATGCCCATCCGAGAATACTATATCCGCCTGTAAGTTTATCAGAAAACATTCAAAGACCTTTTCCAACTCATCAAACACAGAAAGTCACATCACTAAAACCTTCTTCAATTGTCAAACATCTGGCCTGGTATACCTCATAACATGCAGTTGTAATATGAAATATGTAGGCAAGACCATTAGACCCTTCAAGAATCGAATCTTGGAACATATTAATTCTGTAAATCCATCTAGACAAATCGATACACCGATATCACGTCATCTTAAAATTCAACATGGCGGATCGGCTCAGGGTTTACGTTTTAATGGTATAGAAAGAGTGACAATGGGTCCAAGGAAAGGCGATGTTGACAAAAAACTCTTACAGCGAGAGAGCTATTGGATCTTCAAATTGAAGACCTTATCCCCTCTAGGTCTAAATGAGGGTTTTTCTTTTACTCCCTTTATTTCTGACTAGAATCCGACCTTTGAAACCCAACGAGCATGCAGTTTTAATTAATTTTTATATATATTGTAAATATCAACACCACTAATGTGTGTCTAATATCACCTAGTTAAGATTGGGCACTGTATCTTTAAGCGCTACTAGACGAATCTTACCAATGTTCTTTTGTTTCCCTGTCCAAATTATGCACAACGGCACCCTATATTGAGCTATTTAAGAAGATTCATACTAATAATAAGTTACCCTTGCAAGGCTGGCGTCTGGCACACCTATATATATGTACAAATGTAATTTATTCGAGAGGAATTGTCCCTGTAAGTAACATGGGAATAAACACAATGCATTCTGCTCCTTCCGAGTCACCTTTGCAGTAGACCAATATCGCTATAGATCAAGGGATAATATCTGCAGGCGTGAATGTTATAATGGAGCCCCTACAGTGTTTATAACTATAAGGCATTCATTTACTTGCTCAAACCCAAATGGGCATCTTTATAGCAAGCAGTTCAGGTAATGCCTTTCCGAGATATTCTATTTAATTTCATTGTTGTATCCCCAATATCTCCATCTGTACACATATACTTTACAGCATTGCCATTTTGCCTAATATAGTATATTGGTACTCTTTTGTTTTTCAAGCCCGCGGCATTTTTTAGGCTAGTATATGTATGGACTTCGCATATTTAACTTTTTTGTACCATAGATGGCTAATGAATACCATAAAGGCTTATTACACAATGGTTGAATATTGGAAGAATTTAAATGATAATTGATTCCACATGAATTAACAATAACATAGAGAATAACCATCGGGCTACAAATATATTCTTCATTTAACCGGAGAAGTTCATTCGTACCAGCACTACAAAGGGTAAATCACTGAATTTTACGTCATCATGTATATATTTTTTTTTAAAAAAGCTATCAGCGGAAACTTGGTTCTTGATTGGTCCCTTTCCTTAAAGGTCCATTTGCATAATGTGTTATTCCGCTTTTCTCTTTTTTGGCGCCATTTTTTTCGACCGGTGATTGGTCCACGTCAGTAGCTCTGACACATATAAAGCAGTGACCCAGCCGTTACCAAATCTTTAGCCCCTGACGAAGGTGCACTTTAGCGGCACCGAAACGCGCGTCGGGTTTTTCTCTTCACTTTTTCCTCACTTCACAGGGCACACTGTCACATGTGCAGAGACCAACACTCTAAGTATGGTCCTGCAGATTAGGATGCACTAACAGTTCTTTCTGTTTTTTCTTTCCCTCCTGTATATTCTTTCCTAGTACTATTGGGGGAGAGAACCTAATATACCTGGCTCTATATTTAGTACCAGAGGCAGCCACGATCAGTCCATTGAATATATCTGTCTGGATGGCAATGTTGCTATCTTTACTGTTCATTTACTAGGACTGGATATTTTGTTTCTGTTGGGGATTCACGTAATGAATATTATCCCAGATACAGTTACATGAATGGCTAGCCTGTTGCATAGTATATAACAGGTTACTCTCACTCCCCCCTTTAGTCACAGGTTTAACACAGCACTATCTGAAAATGAGGCAGCAGCACTACATTTAATCTTTGTTGTAAGCCTGCCATTTTTCTGACATTTTGATACAAATGCTGTGTTAACATCAGAATAGATGTCCATGTTATCTGTATATATTTTTCTTTATATCATTCAGACATTGACACTGATTATTATATTAAAGTCAGAAGTCTGATTAGACACTAACCTACATAGACATTAGGGAGGTACAGCCATTGATAGCTGTGGAGATCTATATATCGATTATATATAGATATATATACTTTTTTGGTTTCTCTTTTGGTATGTTTACACACATTTTTTTGTTCTTATCATTATATTTTGTTACTATCCAATTTAATTTCCAGTTATAATCTACTTTTTTGGAGTAATTTTCTTCAGATTTGTGGGATTTTTCTCAATACTTTAAGAATAGGGGTTATGCCCCATATGACACTGCTGGAGTGTCAGTAAATGTGTTTCTATCTATGGAACGGGCAAGTACCCCTATCCATAGATAATTTCTGTTCATTTAAAGTTATATGTCCCCTTACTATACGAAGATATGTCAGATGTACCCAGTGCTCCTGTCAAAAAAGTACCTACCGATTCCAACAGAAATAAATAAAAACTCAAAAAAATGTAAAGTATATAGTTCACTTTTACAGATAAAATGTAGCCATTCCACAAATAAATACAACCTCACAAATGGAAGGCTATGTAAAAAAGTATATTCAGCTTTAATCTGTGTGATCTATGCCCTTGTATCATGACTGAATGTTAATTTAATTGGCTAGTCTGTACAACCAATCAAATTGCTGAATTATTTTTCAGTTTGCTCTTGGTAAATTGGGGGCCATGTATACCCTCCAACTGTTACAAGATAAGCATCTCACCCCCACATAACTAGAGTTCAGATCAAAGGAAGATACAGTCAAAGGAAGCAGATTAATTGTATTAGTCCTTATTGGTATTTTTACACCATTTCTTAGCATTCACTTTTAATTTTATCACAATTCCCTGTGTGGTAAATAAACCTCTCAACACGTAAATTCTTTTTTTTTTTGTTATCTCTTGTGTTTAATATAAACATCATCAATAAATTCTCTAATTCTTTTAGTACTGTGAAGGAATGGAGGGCCTTTAAGTAATTATAGAGCTATAAACACCTCACTGACAATCTATGGATGTCATTGATTGTCAAACTGTTCCTTTCACATTTTCACATATTGATTTAGCCCATGGTTCAACAAATATATTGCCAGTTCATTGCTTAAAATTATTCACGACTGCTCAGTCGCAAAGACAATGTGTATTACTGTTGCTCACCTGGGAAATGTCCCTGCTAGATGGGATATAATGACACAAGCCCAGGAGATATATATTAAATAAAGAAGAGATATCCTGTGTCATGTGAGCCACTTTTGATGGACAGGAAACTGTTAGATATCTGGCGTCTTTTTTATCAGTTTCTCAAAATACTGTCACCAACAAATCACCAAGATGTCTTGTAGTCATAAATGGTGACAGGTTTATCTCTTCAGGAAAAAGATTGGTACCCTTTTTCACAGACTATAGAATAGTCACAACTTACTATTTCTGAATGAAACATCTATTTGTAGATCTGTTATAAAATAAAATGTACATTATACATATACAAGTAATATGGTAAAACAGAAAAAGTTTTAATAGACACAGATTTAAAAAATTGCACTAATGAATGATAGCAGAACTTATATGGTTTAGCAAATTACAATGAGACTTGGAGAAGATTTTTTTAAACAAAGGATTAAAATATTTCTAAAGGATAATTCATCAAACAGTGAGTTGACAACTAACTTGGAAAATGTAAGCTGAAGTAGCCAGGTTTTCAAAAATGTATGCATTCAGCTCAGTTTTATTGAACAACATTTCATCACAGCAATTATCTTAGCAATTTTGTCAGTTCTCAACTCACCACAACTCAACTAACCATCTTGGGTTTTAGCATATCCTAACCAGTAATTAACAGCCCTGCTGGCATCAGACAACCAATAGCAGCACATTACCACATCACTGGTGAAAAGTTTTAGTGCCCCTTCAGTTTTGATTGTGGTATCTTATGTGTCTATGTATCTGCATGTGTGTATATATATCTGCATGTGTTTCAGTGTGTATATGTGCATACATCTCAAAATCTTGCCAATACTACACACAAATACACCCTTGCATTTCAACAGCAACACTACATACAAACCTCACCTTTATATATAACCACACCACTGCATTCAAAAACCACACTACACACAAATGCATGCTTGCATTCAAACGTTAACACTACATACAAGCCCACCCCTACATTCACTCACATACAAAAACATGCTAACATTCAAACACACAAACACTGCTCAGTACTAAATACATAAAAAAAATTGAGTTTGTTTTTTACATTTTAAAGTGGAGGAGGGAAGGGGGAGAGGTGTCAAAATAGAACCCGCCCTGGGTGCCAAATGCTCTAGGTACGCCCCTGGACAGGCATATACACAAAATAGACACACAGACAGACACAGAGATGGATAGTCAGTAGTGATGTCCAGAACGGTTCGCCGAACAGTTCGCCGCGGACTCATCATTGAGTAAACTTTGACCCTGTACCTCACAGTCAGCAGACACATTCCAGCCAATCAGCAGCAGACCCTCCCTCCCAGACCCTCCCACCTCCTGGACAGCATCCATTTTACATTCATTGTGAAGCTGCATTCTTAGTGAGCTGTCCAGGAGGTGGGAGGGTCTGGGGGGAGGGTCTGCTGCTGATTGGCTGGAATGTGTCTGCTGACTGTGAGGTACAGGGTCAAAGTTTACTCAATGATGAGTCCATGGCGAACCGTTCGTGGCGAACCGTTGGCGAACCGTTCGGCGAACCGTTTGGGACATCACTAATAGTCAGATATATAAAAAGACAGGTTAAAGCAGGTTAAACAAAGATTGATAGATGATACCGATACCTGGAAAAAAAGCTCTAGATCGCTATGCCATGTTATTAGAACCAAGAATACAGGTGAAGCTCTGTCAGAGCCTTGGTTATAACTGGAAAGAAAAAAAAATGTTCAAGCAGTTACAGAAACAGTTATGTCTATGACATCACAGCATGACATCATCTATTATGATTTAACTGCTAAGGATCACAGTTCCTGAAGTGGAGATTATTATTAAGTGTTCTTGCATAGCAAGTCCCCTTAATATTATCTCACATATATTTAAGTATTCTTGCATAGCAAGACCACTTAATGTTATCTCACATATTATTATTAAGTGTTCTTGCATAGCAAGACCACTTAATGTTATCTCACATATATATTCTTATTAAGTGTTCTTGCATAGCAAATTTACCAAAACGTGCAGATTGTTCCCGATCGGATTGCTATTACTTTGTGGAACGTTTCGCCGAATGGTTCACGGAATATCGTCGTTCTTGTGGCACAATTTGTCCCATAGGAATGAATGGCAAAGCTAGAGTGGGAGCTGGCAAAAGCTGAAAAATCAGGACATGATTTCTAAACTGCCACCACTCCCTTATTTTCAGGCCCACCTACACAAATCTTATATCAAAACGTTCAGCTATCCCTGCTGCCACTAAACATGTCAACGGCTAAGCTATAGTCCTGATAGTTTTCACAATATAATCATTTGTTTGCAACCAACGCCGTCCATTGACATTCATTGAAACTTCACTCTACAAAGCTCAAATTTGAAGTGCAATTTCTAAACTGCGACTGTGCCTTCAATTTTAATACTTCAGAAACATACTATGTATCAAAATGTAGGTCTGGGTCTTGTGATTCTCACAATATAAAGCTCTTCGCTGTAGGAGTTATAGTTTTTAAATACGACCGTTTGAAGATGGCAACCGCCAAAATACTCTGACCTGTGTCAAGCTGCAGCAGCAAGTGATGTCATAGACAGGGCCTTTTGAACACCTGCTAATGTTTTTATAAATGTATGGTTTAATGTAACTGTGCAACAACGTTGCAATTAAATGTGCTATATAAATGATAACAGTTACTCCGCCCACTCCAGTTGTAGACTACTGGTGGAGGCAAGAACACTTCACACAATTTCCCCAGAAAGCTTTTCTAGTTATTAAGTGTTCTTGCAAGAACACTTATTGTTATCTCACATATATATTATTCTTATTATAGCCAAATTTGCCACCCTAACTCCTCCCACAGTTTTTACACTACATAGACCAAAATTTACCAAAACGTGCAGATTGTTCCCGATCGGATTGTTATTACTTTGTGGAACTTTGTGGAACGTTTCGCCGAATGGTTCACGGAATATCATCGTTTTTGTGGCGAAATTTGTCCCATAGGAATGAATGGCAAAGCTAGAGTGGGAGCTGGCAAAAGCTGAAAATCAGGACATGATTTCTAAACTGCCACCACTCCCTCATTTTCAAGCCCACCTACACAAATCTTATATCAAAACGTTCAGCTATCCCTGCTGCCACTAAACATGTAAACAGCTAAGCCGTAGTCCTGATAGTTTTCACAATATGACCATTTGTTTGCAACCAACGCCGTCCATTGACATTCATTGAAACTTCACTCTGCAAAGCTCAAATTTGAAGTGCAATTTCTAAACTGCGACTGTACCTTCAATTTTAATACTTCAGAGACATACTATGCATCAAAATGTAGGTCTGGGTCTTGTGATTCTCACAATATAAAGCTCTTCACTGTAGGAGTTATAGTTTTTAAGATACGACCGTTTGAAGATGGCAACCACCAAAATACTCTGACCTGTGTCAAGCTGCAGCAGCAAGTGATGTCATAGACAGGGCCGTTTGAACACCTGCTAATGTTTTTATAAATGTATGGTTTAATGTAACTGTGCAACAATGTTGCAATTAAATGTGCTATGTAAATGATAAGTTACTCCGCCCACTCCAGTTGTAGACTACAGGTGGAGGCAAGAACACTTCACACAATTTCCCAGAAATTGTAACTTTTCTAGTTATTATTATTCTTATTATAGCAAAATTTGCCACCCTAACTCCTCCCACAGTTTTTACACTACATAGACAAAAATTTACCAAAACGTGCAGATTGTTCCCGATCGGATTGCTATTACTTTGTGGAACGTTTCGCCGAATGGTTCACGGAATATCGTCGTTTTTGTGGCGCTATTTGTCCCATAGGAATGAATGGCAAAGCTAGAGTGGGAGCTGCCAAAAGCTGAAAAATCAGGACATGATTTCTAAACTGCCACCACTCCCTTATTTTCAGGCCCACCTACACAAATCTTATATCAAAGCGTTCAGCTATCCCTGCGGCCACTAAACATGTCAACGGCTAAGCCGTAGTCCTGATAGTTTTCACAATATGACCATTTGTTTGCAACCAACGCCGTCCATTGACATTCATTGAAACTTCACTCTGCAAAGCTCAAATTTGAAGTGCATTTTCTAAACTGCGACTGTGCCTTCAATTTTAATACTTCAGAGACATACTATGCATCAAAATGTAGGTCTGGGTCTTGTGATTCTCACAATATAAAGCTATTCGCTGTAGGATTTATAGTTTTTAAAATATGACCGTTTGAAGATGGCAACCACCGAAATACTCTGACCTGTGTCAAGCTGCAGCAGCAAGTGATGTCATAGACAGGGCCTTTTGAACACCTGCTAATGTTTTTATAAATGTATGGTTTAATGTAACTGTGCAACAACGTTGCAATTAAATGTGCTATGTAAATGATAACAGTTACTCCGCCCACTCCAGTTGTAGACTACAGGTGGAGGCAAGAACACTTCACACAATTTCCCCTGAAAATGTACCTTTTCTAGTTATTATTATTATTATAGCCAAATTTACCACCCTAACTCCTCCCACAGTTTTTACACTACATAGACAGTAATATACCGAAACGTGCGGATTGTTCCCGACTGGATTGCTATTACTTTGTGGAACGTTTCGCCAAATGGTTCACGGAATAACATCATTCTTGAGGCGAAATTGGTCCCATAGGAATGAATGGCAAAATGTTCAAAACTAGAGTGGGAGCTGACAAAAGCTGTAAAATCAGGACATGATTTCTAAACTGCCACCACGCCCACATTTTCAGGCCCACCTACACAAATCTTATATCAAAACGTTCAGCTACCCCTGCTGCCAGTAAAAATGTCCACAGCTAACCCATAGTCCTGATAGTTTTCAAAATAAGACCATTTGTTTGCAACTCACATCGTCCATTGACATTCATTGAAACTTCACTCTAGCCAGCTCAATTGTGAAGGGCAATTTCTAAACTGTGACTGTGCCTTCATTGTTAATATTTCAGAGACATACTACGCATCAAAATGTAGCTTGGGTCTTGTGATTCTCACAAAAGAAAGCTCTTCGCTGTAGGATTTATAGTTTTTAAAATATGACCGTTTGAAAATGGCAACCAGGGTGGCCTTAGACCATTAGGCGCCCTGTGCGAAAAGGGCGCCACCCCCGACCAAGTTGCCTATATATATCACACACACAGGCAGACAGTCACACAAACAGTTACAAGCAGACAGTCAGACATGCTCAGTTACAGGCAGACAGTCACACACAATTACAGGCAGACAGTCACACAGTTACAGGCAGACAGTCACACACAGTTACATGCACACAATCACAAACAGTTACATGGACACACACAGGTACAGGCATACAGTCACACACAGTCACAAGCAGACAGTCACACATACTCCATTACAAGCAGTCATACACACTCGGTTACAGGCATACAGACACTCACACATGCTGATAGGCACACACACTCAGTTAAAGGCAGATAGTCATGCACAAAGGCACAGGCACACACACAGGAAGACTGTCACACTGTAGCGTTACCCACCTTATCCAGGGGCCGGCCGCGGTCCTCTCTTCGAGCCGCGCGCGGTCCTGCTGCTGCACGAGCCGCGCGCGGCTCATCCGACGGCCTCAACAGGAAGGCGGGCAGTGACCGCGAGAAGCGGTCACGTGTCCCACCTGAATCTAAGAGCGCGCCCCGAGTCTCGGGCGCGCTCTTAAAGAGGCAGTGGGAGCCTAAATTGTTAAAAGGCTCCCATTGGCCCCTGTCATGCCACACTCCCCATACACTTACCTTTTGGGGGTGTAGATATGACAGGAGCCAATCACATTAGTTTAAAAGCTATATATACTTACCTCTCCCTTTACTCCCTGCCCTATCGTGGTTTCTGTATCAGTTCCCTTTAGCGCTTGTTGTGTTCAGTTGTGTTTCTCCGTTTTGACTTTGGCTTTGTTTCTGACTACGTTTTCTCTTTATCCTTATCTGTTCTGGTTGTCGGCTTGCTGTTTACTGTGTACCAGACCCCGGCTTGTCCTAGTTTACGCTGTCTCTCTGTGTCCTTGACTTCGGATCGTTCCTGACTCTGCCTCCTCTCATATACGTCGAGTCCGGCCATTATAAGGTCCGGTAGACGTATCTCTCCTCTGTGTTGTCTTCTGTTTAGCCGAATCCTGCGTGTTGGGGTATATTCTCGTTACACACACACAGTCAGACAGTCACACACACACACATGGAGGCAGTCACATAGACAGACAGACCCACACACACACACACACAGGCAGGCAGTCAGTCACACAGAAGACAGTCACAAACACACACACAGAGGCAGGCAGTCACACACACACAGGCAGACAGTCACACAGACAGACAGACACACACACACACGCAGGCAGGCAGTCACACACACAGGCAGGCAGGCAAGCAGGCAGTCAGACAGTCACACACACAGGCAGGAAGTCAGACAGACAGTCACACACACAGGCAGACAGTCACACGCATACACACACAGACAAACAGTTACAAATAGCCAGGCAGTCACACACACAGACTTACCTCTTTCCATTATGGCTGGAAGGGGAAGTGAAAGCAGTTCCTGTGCAGCAGTTACATGGGGCTTTGGGCAGGTATTGACTCCTCCTCCGCACCGTGATAAGCCCTACCCCACTGCTCATGAAGCCCCACCCCTGCTGCTGTGATTTTTTATTTTTTTTATATGTACCCGAGTGGAGAATAATTAATCCTCCACCCGGTAACCTGTTTTAGCTCCCCTGACACCAGCCATGTGCAAACTGTGTCGGCCACATGGCGCCCCCTGATCCATGGTGCCCTGTGGGGCCGCTCAGCTCGCACACCCCCAAGGCCGGCCCTGATGGCAACCACCAGTGAAGTGAGCAATTTGGAGCAGTTTGTTTTTAACCACTCTTCTCTGCCCTATTTGAAATCTATTAGTTCCTGTTGGCAGTTGGTGGAATGTTCGAGGGATTTGAAATGGCGGCTGCAGAAACCCTGTGTAACAAGGCTGCAATCTGAAGATGCTGCTATATATGTATTAATAAAGTAAGTACTTCGTTTTACAGGAATTGACTGATTTGTACATCACAGTGGCAGCAGGGAACGTTTTGATATAAATTGGTACATTTATATCCCTACATGGCAAGACCACTTACTATTATCTCACATATATATTATTAATCTTATTGAGCAATTTGGAGCAGTTTGTTTTTAACTGCTCTTCTCTGCCCTTGCTGTAGAGTGAGTGAACCACACTCCAACCTTTCCACAGTTACTCAAGCCACTCCACCCAGGTACTCCGCCCACTCCAGTTGTAGACTACTGGTGGAGGCAAGAACACTTAAAGGACCACTCTAGGCACCCAGACCACTTCAGCTTAATGAAGTGGTCTGGGTGCCAGGTCCCTCTAGAATTAACCCTTTTTTTAATAAACATAGCAGTTTCAGAGAAGCTCCTGCCGCGCGTGCGCATTCAGCCGAAGGGGAGGAGAAGAGGCAGAGAGGAGGAGAGGAGGAGGAGAGCTCCCCGCCCAGCGCTGGAAAAAAGGTAAGTTTTAACCCTTTCCTCTCCCCAGAGCCGGGTAGGAGGGGAACCCTGAGGGTGGGGGCACCCTCAGGGCACTATAGTGCCAGGAAAACAAGTATGTTTTCCTGGCACAATAGTGGTCCTTTAACACAATTTCCCCAGAAATTTTAGCTTTTCTAGTTATTTTTAATATCAAAAGGGACTGTGATAAACATGTAAAAGGAGTCTTTACAATTAATATATGTTGTTTGAATATAAAAGTAAGATATGTAATACCTTTCCTTTTGCACCTTTTGTCTCTCTTTCTACTGTCATCTGTTTCCAACCTAATATTGTTGTTCTTCTCTTTTTCCACCTCCACCTACCCTCATACAGTCATTCGCACACTATATTCCCCTATTACTATTTCTCAAAATAGTATATTTAAAAAGTTGTATATTGTGTTAAGCAAATTGCAAAGGCTGAAAAAAATGTGAGCATACAGTTGTTAACTGTAATTCACAATCTAGTGAATAAACCTAAATTTTAAAGAGAGTGTGGCGAAACCAACCTCGCCACTGTGAACTGGAGAAGCCTGGTTGCTCACCTGCTCCCTTTGGACTATGGCCCTGCAGGTTAAACTGTTTATTTCCCCTGCAGAAAGGCTTATTTGTGTGATCTGAGGGCCATTCATCTAATAATGTGCACTCAGATCCCAGCTATCTGGGGATATATGAAATGTCTGTGTGTTATGTGTAAATGTGACTTTATGTATTTTAAAGTGTTTTGTGTCTTTTTGCAACCATGTGCTTAATGGAGTCTTGTGTCTATCCTGGGAGATAACTGAATTACTTATCTCCAGGATAGAAGACTCTGAAACTGGTTTGGGCCAGAAAGCCATGCTTCATTTAGTCACAAAGGACTTTTTACTAACTTTTGAACCCCTTGTCTGATTTGTGCCATTTTTTAATATGTTGTTCCCCTGAATGGATTGATTGTGAATGTGTAATTTAATGTGAATGTGATGTATGGTTTTAGAGTTATGAAAGTTGGGTAGAAGTATGTTTTAACTGTATGTATAATTGAGTTTCCTCTCAGGATAAGGGGAGGGAATATGTGGGATGTAACTGTGATGTGATTGGTTGTTTTGTAACGCCCCGTGGGCTGTACTATGTTTGTGGATTGGGAATAAAAGAGACTGTATGTGACAGTACAGGGAGTTCCTGCTTAACCCTCAAAGTGAAGTGTCGTCTCATTATTGGGGGAAGGATTTATTGTATGCTGTTCCAGTTTGACTGCTGGAGAGTAAACCTATTCGTATGGTTCCTATTCAACTGTCTACAGCATTCATATGCTTGAGAGGATTCATATGCTTCTCCGGTTCGGTGGTTGTGGTGTCTGCTGCAGTGTTTGGAGTCCTCAGGAAGCGCTAGGAGCATCCTTTAACGGAGGTACCCAGTCGGGGTGCCAGGCGATCCATTACAGAGGTTTTCTCTCTTTTTCTCTATTGTGAGCAGAGCTGGACAAGCATGAGTCCCAGTATATCCCTTGAACCTAAACAGCACCGGGGGAAGGGAAAAGAAGGAATCTCCTGACAGCCATAATATGTTTTTAATGTAGGACAACTGAGCAACATGGAAGTATGAATTCTGGAAGAGAGCACATGACAGGTGCATTGTCGCCATACGGGTGGGAGGAAAGGACCCCTAAATACCCACACCCCACCCTTTACCCAAAAAACGATCAATTCTGAGGTATGGGACAATACGTCCCAGGTTTTTACCTTCAGCATACAGTACTAGAACATCTGGCCTCCTATTACTTCCCAGCATACCTAAGATCGCTCCACAAACGGCCTGCCACCTGTAACCCCGATATCTGAACCATTTCAATGCAATCTGGTCCTCAGGAAAGGACAGCTGGTGGCCCTTAAAATGAACTGCAGCCCTCTGTTTGGCCCAGAAGATGTAGGAATGGCCCATGATCCAGACCACTTGACCTATGGAGACAAATTAGGTAGTTAGGCCTCTTCCTCGGTCGCCCGATTACCCAGACGCTTATACCAGGCACCCTAGGCGCCAAACTGATTCCCTGGAACCAAACTGATTCCCACCTACCAATTTTCTTAATGATCTCTTCACCCAAACCCAACCTTGTCGCCTCCGTAGCTGCACCTATGCGAAAGGAGTGTGTCCCAAACTGGTAATCACAATTGAATGACCCGGAAGAATTAGAAGTGCGACAGCAAAGAGCCATCTTGATGAACCAAGAAGGATCTGTCGCCCACTGGCCGCCTCGTCAGGTACCGCGAGACGTTAAGCACCAGGCACAAGTCCGATCCTGGGAGTTTGTGCGGCACAATGTCCACCCCCTTCCCCATGACATTCGTTTGCGACTGGGCCAGCCGCACGACCTCTCTATCGGCTGTCACAGAAACATCTTCCAACATCACTCCCCCTCTGCCTTCCCTATTGGTTCTAACCAACTCCCTGATGCGGAAAGCACCAAAGAAAGGTAATACAAATGCCAAACCGAACAGCCATGCTTCGTATTCGGTGAAACAAATCCCGGGAAGCTCCCGCACCAAACCTCCCAGTATGTTAAAGTAGATGGGTCTCCTAGTATCCGGCACCACGCGCCCCTTCTGGAATCCCTTAAGAGCCTGCCACACAATAAAAAAGCTTGGTGAGATCATCAAACATCTGCCCTGCATCTGCGATCCTGGGTAGAGGCATTATGAACTTCATACACTCTAGTTCTTCACCTGCATGCATTCCGTCGCTAGTGAGGGGTGCTGGAATGGAGTAAGGGAAATAGGGCAAATAGGCCATTTGTCATAATCGTGTTTATCTTTTTCTTTAGTTTTATTGTTTTTGATATGCTTAAACATGTGCTTCAGGGTTTAAATGTAATGCCATATAGCTAACATGTCCTGTAAGATGTATAGGAAATCTTTGCACCAGGAAAAAAGTTGATGTTAAGTTTTGAGGGTTAGCGGCAGCCCAGTAGTGACACGGTTGGAAACCAGTCACTGCCTTAGAGGATTATGGAAATCGGAAGCCAGTACTGGCTTTTTCCCTCTAGCTACTGGTGAACTTTTGCTGTTTGTCAAAAGCTGCTACCCACCAACAAAAGCAACAAGCATTTTAGCAAATGGCAGCTGACCAGTGAAAAGATTACTTAAATTTGTAAGTTGGTTAGCATACCATTACTCTTTGTTTAGTAAATAACTATTAGATTCATAATGGATGATTTTACACCAAATTCCAAACACGTGTGAATTGGAAAAAACTGCCATGAAATACATATAAAATATTAGTTTTATGTATTAAAAATTACCAATTTTGTTAGAAGCTAATACTAAGATATGTATGACTTGACAGCCAAACGTCCTGAAGAGCAAACTATGACGTTCATATTAATTATATATATTATTCTGTTCAGCCTTTCTGTTTTTGCTGTTGATCCAAGAGAAGGCAAAACAGTTTTAAGTGCTTTTCAATTTTGTAACAAACTAGGAAAAAGTTCCTTCTTGACACCAGAATGGCAGTCAGATATCGTTTGTTACCCCACATATTAAAAATTATATTCTGGGGGCATGGCTTGGTGCCTGAACTGAATGGACGCACATCTGTGAGGCTTCTGCCGTTTGGGTACCTTGGAGCAAAAATAATCGGTCTACAGAGCAAAATTATAGCACCTACAGACTCACTATGTCTCAAAACAGCCAAAGCGGGACTGAGCGTCCTTCTTCTTGGCAAAGACTGCGGGACAGAAACCGTGAGAAGGCCGCAGTCACTACAAAGATGGCGGAGAAGCCTGCTTCCGCGAAGGATCGCTGTCACCCTCAGCCTCCCTGGGTTCCCTCTCAGAGGAACAACCCCTAACAACTACAGCAATGCGAAACATGCTTACCGACCTGGCTGACACGATGCAGAACAACATGAAGAAGCAGCTGCAAAGTCTAGCGGCGGACCTCCGCCAAGACAGCTCAGATATAGGCCAACACACGGCCCATGTGGAAAACAAATTGGATGAATGCACTGAGGCACATTACCGGCTGGCATCCAAAGTGCAGGAACAAGAAACAACCCTCCACATGTATAAAACCAAGCTGGCAGACCTAGAAGACCGATCGAGAAGGAACAATATTAGGATCTGAGGTATACCGGAAACGGTATTAGCCACAGGCCTCACTGACTACCCTCAAGATATGTTCCAACTGCTCATCCCAGCTATCCACCCGGACCAACTGCTTGTGGACAGAACACACTGTCTCTGTCGGCCACAACACCTGCCACCCACGATGGAGAGGGATGTCATTGCACGCATCCACGTCTTTCATGCCAAAGAGCAGTTGATGAAAGCGATCAGAATTTGCCCGACCCTTATGGACACATCAAGCTCTTTGCGGATTTATCTGCAGAAACTCTGCAATTTCAGAAACACTTGGCTCCGGTCACTACCACCCTACGAGAACAAAAAGTAGTGTACAGATGGGGATACCCTGCAAAGCTTTTGGTCCACCATGAAGGAACCATGCACGCGATCTCTACCCTGGAATCGGGTCTCTCTAAGCTCAAGGACTGGGGTTTTCAAACACCAGAGCGCTTACAACAGAAACCAGCAAAAGCCCCCAGACTCTCCCCAGAGTGGACACTCACATAAGTGCTATGTAAGACATTCCTTCCTAAGCGGAGGCATGATTCCAGTATCCTTCCAAGACAACCTGAGATCTACCACAGTTTCAGAGATCAGGTCGTATCACACCCTGAATTTTTTGAGTTATGGACAGACCAATGTTAAATGTAATGTTAATGGAATGTAAATGTTGATTGATTATGCCCTAGGGTTAGTCGGATAGATCTACACCAGTTCCTACCCCACGCAGTTAGAGAACTACCGGGCAGTAAACCACTTCCCCACAAAAGGAGATTTGCCCCTCGTAGCCTCAGAAGCTAATGGGGAGCTTGGAGTGATCACAGGTATCAGCGGGTACTAACCTCGGTTGAATTGTAGTATATATGCACTATGTTTGGATGTTGTGTCTGTTTAGCCAGTGCCCTGCGGTTGCCCTGAACGACCTAACCCTGTATGTACCCGAAGCAGTTGGGGCCACAGCGGCCCAGGCACAGTAAGGGTTAACTAACTAAAAGGGGTGATTCCGTACATCGGAGGCCCCTCCTGGAGGGAACCACAACATTGGTCGCCCCTGTCACCACAGAACCGGAGAACCGGCACTGTAAACCTCCCATATGTCTCCCCATATGCAAGAGAACATGGGACTCGGACCTATCTTGCATTCTAACCCCCAGGGAGGATGTTACACCCGGCCAAGGACTCCCTCATTAACTGCTATACACAGGGAGCCGATGACCCAGCCCAGGCCAAGAGACAACACCCTCGTCCTAATAGGGGCCGACGGCATCTATGAGTTCTTTTTTACTTTATATCTTCCTTTTTGGTCTAACCTGTTCTCACTGACTCTTGAGACCCTTGAGACATTTCAAAATCACAATGTTGCAACGCTCCTACCTCCATCAGAGCCACATATGAGCTGCATGCCTATGGCAAAGCTCGACCTCCCGCCCCCTAGGCTCTGCGATTAAGAGTTCCTTGATGCAATGTGGCTCCGAGCAAGGGAGCTAGTTAGGGCATGCTGCCCACCCATTTACTTTATCCCCTCACCTATCCCCCCATCTGGTCTCATTCTGTCCCAGAGGGTCCCTCCTTCCCCTACGAAATTTTATCCAAGTACTCAAACTCCGGCTACCCCGCCAGAATTTAATCACTTACCACATCTTAACAAGACGCGAGAAACCCTACTCAGCCGAATTGTCACTGACACACGCAAACGATATGTAGCGCACTCACCCCCCCCATCATACCAATATGAGACTTATCTCCCACAACGTCAAGGGGTTAAACACCCCAGGTAAACGCAGACTACTGCTTAAAGATTTGATAAAAAACAGGGCAGATATTGCCTGTATTCAGGAAACACACTTTCGAAATGACCGCACTCCGGCCATATTCATGAAAACTTACCCCGTCCAGTTTCACTCTCAAGCAAGCACTAAGACGAAAGGAGTATCAATTCTGGTCCACAGAGATGTAGCCTTCACTCCAATAGAGCACAGTATAGACCCAAGGGGCAGATACATAATATTGGTGGGACAATTTAACGTTGTCCACCTCACGTTAGTAGCAACCTATTTCCTCAATGAAAATCCCAAGCAATTCCTCCAAATGGTATTGCGTAAAATAGACAAGATTAAACGAGGCAATGTAATACTATGCAGGGATTTTAACTGCTGTAACGGATCACCTGGCACCCCGACTGGGTACCTCCGTTGAAGGATGCTCCTAGCGCTTCCAGAGGACTCCAAGCACTGCAGCAGACACCACAACCACCGAATTGTAGGAGCATGTGAATGCTCTCAAGCATATGAATGCTGTAGACAGTTGAATAGGAACCATACCAATAGGTTTACTCTCCTAGCAGTCAAACTGGAACAGCATACAATAAATCCTCCCCCAATAATGAGACGACACTTCACTTTGAGGGTTAAGCAGGAACTCCCTGTACTGTCCCATACAGTCTCTTTTATTCCCAATCCACAAACATAGTACAGCCCACAGGGCGTTACAAAACAACCAATCAATCCGTACAATACACCCAGACACTCCCACACAAAATCCTCCCCTCTGCAGGTGATATGATTACTGAACACAATGGGTAATCTCATTATCACCGGCAGAGGAATACAGTTTTTACACAATATTTATAACTTCTAAAATATACATGTCACAAACATAAAACATACATTTCATAATCAATCCATTCAGGGGAACAACATATTAAAAAATGGCACGAATCAGACCAGGGGTTCAAAAGTTAAGGGAAAGTCCTTTGTGACTAAATGAAGCATGGCTTTCCGGCCCAAACCAGTTTCAGAGTCTTCTATCCTGGAGATAAGTAATTCAATTATCTCCCAGGACAGACACAAGACTCCATTAAGCACATGGTTGCAAAAGACACAAAACACTTTAAAATACATAAAGTCACATTTACACATAACACACAGACATTTCACATATCCCCAGATAGCTGGGATCTGAGTGCACATTATTAGATGAATGGCACTCAGATCACACAAATAAGCCTTTCTGCAGGGGAAATAAACAGTTTAACCTGCAGGGCCATAGTCCAAAGGGAGCAGGCGAGCAACCAGGCTTCTCCAGTTCACAGTGGCGAGGTTGGTTTCGCCACACTTCTCCCCTTTACCAACTAGACTAACCGGGTATCTGACCTCCTGCCGGTCAGTGCCCTGGTTAGTCCAGCAACCCACCCACAAAACAGAAACAGCAGTACAGCCCACCCACAATAACTGGTTACTACACCTGGGTAGCGGAGAACTTTGTCCATGTCCAGGTGCCTCACCATGACTGTGTGGGCAACTGTTAGGCTGCCTTGGTGGGTTGCTGAGTGGGCAGAGACCAGCGGTACTCTGCCCTGATGCCAGTGCTACCACGGAAGTAGCCTGGTGGGAGCCTGGTTATGGGAGGGAGAGACCGACTGTCTCCCCTCTGGATACACCGCTCTGTGGCTGGGGAACAGGACCGACTGTCCCTACCCCTGGTGCTGCAAGTGCAGAGACTACGTTCCCATCTGCACTGTTGGGGGGTGTAACATCTCCCCTTGCTGGGTTAGGCTGCCGCTGGAGAGAGGGTGTAACAAGCTCCTCTCTCTGAACTGTAAACTGCCGCTGGGGAGAGGGGGTATCAGGCTCCTCTCCCTGACACTCTCTCTGCTGGTGGAGAGGGGGACCAGCTGTCTCCCTTTCATTATTTTGTCCTGTGGTTGGGGTGCGAGACTGACGGTCTCTGCTCCCTGCAGGACACTCTGCCGCTGGGGAGGAAGGACGGCACCTTCAGCTCCCTGGGGTACACACTGCCGCTGGGGAGGAAGGACTGCACCTTCAGCTCCCTGGGGTACACACTGCCGCTGGGGAGGAAGGACTGCACCTTCAGCTCCCTGGGGTGCACACTGCCGCTGGGGAGGAAGGACTGCACCTTCAGCTCCCTGGGGTACATACTGCCGCTGGAGATCTGGGCCGACCGCCCAGCATCCCTGTAGGGCCGGTTGAGAGACCGCCGTCCCATCTCCACCTGCCATCTGTGGGTCTTCCCAGGACCAGTCTGTGAGGTCCCTCAACATTTGCGAGTAAGGACCACCTGCTTCCGCACCTGGCAGCTCCGGCTGCTGCTGGGGATCTGGGCCGGTCCCATCTCCACCTGCCTGTTGTGGTTCCTCACAGGACCAGTCTATGAGGACCCCTACTTCGGGTTCCTGCGGCCGCCTCAGGGGGAGACGGCTAGCCTCCTCGGATGCAGCCTCTACTCGGCTGCTGTAACACTCCTTCCGCTGAGCATACTCTCTCTCTTTCGCCAGCCGGAATTCTCGGGCCAGCCTTGTGTTTCGCTCGGCCGTGACCTGGTTCCAGATCACCCGGCGTACCTCCATGGGTAAATCATCCCCATACTGGGCCACTCGCTGCCTCACCTCGGCCATCCAATCATCGCCAGAGCCTTCCATACTTGTCTGCTCCAAGTCGCTGGATACCTCTGCTCCCAGGGTCGCTGCACGTGTGCTAGCGTTGCCCTCAATTTGTAACTCCACGAACGGTGTCTCTGAGCTGCTTTACCTCGCACTAGGACGCCATCCCACCGCTTGCCACCAATGTAACGGATCGCCTGGCACCCCGACTGGGTACCTCCGTTGAAGGATGCTCCTAGCGCTTCCTGAGGACTCCAAGCACTCTGGCAGACACCACAATCACCGAACCGTAGGAGCATGTGAATGCTCTCAAGCATATGAATGCTGTAGACAGTTGAATAGGAACCATACCAATAGGTTTACTCTCCTAGCAGTCAAACTGGAACAGCATACAATAAATCCTCCCCCAATAATGAGACGACACTTCACTTTGAGGGTTAAGCAGGAACTCCCTGTACTGTCCCATACAGTCTCTTTTATTCCCAATCCACAAACATAGTACAGCCCACAGGGCGTTACAAAACAACCAATCAATCCGTACAATACACCCAGACACTCCCACACAAAATCCTCCCCTCTGCAGGTGATATGATTACTGAACACAATGGGTAATCTCATTATCACCGGCAGAGGAATACAGTTTTTACACAATATTTATAACTTCTAAAATATACATGTCACAAACATAAAACATACATTTTCATAATCAATCCATTCAGGGGAACAACATATTAAAAATGGCACGAATCAGACCAGGGGTTCAAAAGTTAAGGGAAAGTCCTTTGTGACTAAATGAAGCATGGCTTTCTGGCCCAAACCAGTTTCAGAGTCTTCTATCCTGGAGAGTAATTCAATTATCTCCCAGGATAGACACAAGACTCCATTAAGCACATGGTTACAAAAAGACACAAAACACTTTAAAATACATAAAGTCACATTTACACATAACACACAGACATTTCACATATCCCCAGATAGCTGGGATCTGAGTGCACATTATTAGATGAATGGCACTCAGATCACACAAATAAGCCTTTCTGCAGGGGTAATAAACAGTTTAACCTGCAGGGCCATAGTCCAAAGGGAGCAGGCGAGCAACCAGGCTTCTCCAGTTCACAGTGGCGAGGTTGGTTTCGCCACAACTGCATACAATCACCCATGCTCGACACGACTGACACCCTGACAGGGCACAGCAAAAAGAGATTAGACACCACAAGTAAGGCATTTACCAAGCTGGTAGACCAATATGACCTCTACAACACCTGGAGATCAGTGCACCCAGGAGATAGGGACTATTCATTCTACTCGAGGGCCCATAACTCCTATACCCGCATTGACGCATTCCTCATAGACAGACAACTCCTAGCCCAACTGACTAATAGTGATGTCGCGAACTGTTCGCAAACTTGCCGCGAACGGTTCACCGCGGTTCGCCACGAACCGTTCGTGGCGAACTCCAGTCAGCTGACACATCCCTGCCAATCTCCGGCAGACCCTCCCTCCCAGACCCTCCCACCTCCTGGACAGCATCCATGTTGAAACTGCCTTCAACATGGATGCTGTCCAGGAAGTAGGAGGGTCTGGGAGGGAGGGTCTGCCGGAGATTGGCAGGGATGTGTCAGCTGACTGGAGTTCGCCACGAATGGTTCGTGGCGAACCGTGGCGAACCGTTCACGGCAAGTTCGCGAACGGTTCGCGACATCACTACTGACTAACTGTACCATGGGAGACATAACATGGTCAGACCATGGCCCGGTATACCTTGACCTCTTAGACGCCTGCCAATTTAAAGGAAGAGGCTCCTGGAAATTAAACGACTCACTGCTGTCAGACACCACATTTGCTAAAGAAATAAGGGAAGCACTACAAACATACTTTGACACAAATAGTGGAGCAGGAATCTCGGACAGCACAGTTTGGTCAGTGCACAAGGCAGTCATGAGGGGCCTGTTTATTAGTAGATCCTCCTTTCTGAAAAGACACCACCAAACCAATCTCCTAGATTGTCACAAACAAATAGCATTAACCTCCAAACAGAACAAACTACAACCCTCAAAACAATTAGCAGCACAACTTCAAACGCTATATACCCGTTTAACAGAGCTAAACGCAGAAAAAAAAGAACATGCTCCACAAATTAAAAGTCAATGTTTACCATAATAGCGGCAAGGCCAGTAAATACTTAGCTAATAGATTACAAGCAAAGTACGCCAACTCAAAAATCTCCCACATTATAGGTGAGGACGGCACCAAAAACATCACCCCCACTGCTATTAGTCAGGAATTTGCGGAGTTCTACTCCAAACTCTATAACCTGAACACCTCCGGCAATGTACATTTGGCAAGCAAAGACGAAATAAATAGTTACCTACAAAAGGCTAACCTCCCCCAAATAGACCTGACACAAGAAGCCGAACTGCTAAAACCTATCAAAATGCAGGAAGTGCTAAACGTGATAATGGGATTACCAAGGTGGTAAAGATGGTCTCTCTAACGCCTATTACAAGCCATATGCTCAGGAACTCGCCCCGCACCTCCTGAAGGTGTATCACTCAGCCTCCGAATCAGGGAAACTACCACATGAAATGTTGTTGGCCATCATAGTAACCTTTTTTCATTAAAGAGTTTATGCCAGTCAATGAGTTGTAAAGCTGACTTAATCTTATTAAAATTGGTCTTTTTACAATTATATGTTGTCTGACTTTTTTTTTATTATTCATTAACCAATAATTTCAATGAGCAGAATAAAATTATATACTAAGACAGTTTCCAAACATGCTAATATATCTTTCATTCCTTCTGGGATCGTGTTCAGAAAGACAGGCACGATCCTTCCTTAAAACAAGGGTAAATCAAAACAGTCCTTTGAATAAAATAAAAAAAATGTTGTGTGGCAAGATTAAACATATATGGTTTCTTTTGAAGATGAAAAACTAGCTTATTTTGCAATATTTAATATTTCCCCTTAGGATTATTTTTTACTGAATTCAATGAGGTCAAAGAAGAATAAAATAATAAAACATAGAATTAAAGAGTGAAGATGAAAGTAACATTTTTCTGATTGTTACTACTTTTACACGAGCCAAAGTTAAAAATATAATTGAATCTGTATGGGGAAAGAATAATATTTAGAACATTTATTCCCTGTCAGACATACCCATTTCTTATTGTCACGTTTGAAGGCTTACTACATTTGTCTGCATTCTACTAGCTGTTACATATAATGAGAGAAACGTTAAATTACTTTATTAACTTTCATTAAACATGAACTACCTCTGCCAATTATAGCCTTGATTTGAAAATTTTGGATACGTTTTTCAAATGATTTAATATTTTAACATTGAAAATGCTTTTTTTCAAAATATTAAAATATAAAAAAATATACCCTACGCAGAAATATATATATACAAATTATCAAAATATTAAAATATTTAGCAAAATATTAAATCATTTTAAAAGTTTGTCCAAATATATTAAATCATAGGAAAATCTTATCCAAAAATATTAAATCGAGGCCTATATGTAGAATTGATCTCCAAACTGTTGTACGAAAGAAATATGCCAAGCTGGTATATTCATATGATATTTTATTTATAATAGACTTATGCATTTGATTTGGGCTGAACTGCAATCCATCCAAATTGGATATATGGTAGACAACCACTAAATGTTGACTTTATTCACAGATCTAGTGACCTATAGAAGGAGCAGAAAAATAAAATTTAGTGATATAGTAATATAATATACATATATATATATATATGTTTTATATATATGTTGGTTGAGGGCTAATGGGTGCCATGATGCTTGCATCATCACTGAATGTTATTTCACCTTTTCAAACACCCTGTACATTGCAGACGTTTGGACGTGTCCACAGCAAAATCTTGGTGATAATGCCCAAGAGTGTATTTACCTTGGTTCTCAATTATTCCAATTCCTTCTTGATAGAGATTTAGTGTGTTTCAGACCCTATTCTTTTTTTATGACATCCATTTGTTTCTCTGTTCGCTTGAAATCAAATAAGTATAGGAGGCAAACATAGTCATTTTCTGTTTTATTTATGTAACTTTTCAATATATCTACTACAGATGCTAAAACTCTTATATTCTATCAAATTCTAACTGAGTATTTCTTTGTGTCTCTAAACCTTATAAAAGAATTTCAGCAGATTTACAATTTATTTAATACTGATCTCCTCTAAAATCATTTGCTATAATATCCACCTATAAAAAATTACCCAAAGTCTTTATAAATGAATTTCCTCTAAAAACAAGATATTTTAACAAATGCTAATCATCACTATAGTGTCTGTGATGAAGACTTTTTATTACTGTTTAGAAGCCACCAGCCAGCCCATCACATATTTAAATGTGGGAATATGTGATATTTCTGTTTGTGTACGAAGGGCTATGTATACCTCCTTTATATGTAAGTAAAGACGCATACAGCTCATCCTCTTCCAGTCATCCTGTTAGAAGCCCACACACACAGGATTTATTAGTGATATTACAGTGTGTGATTTCCAATAATCTGCTTGGTACAACATTATCACTCCACAGAGACATCCGATTAACTGCTCTCCAATCAATACACCCGTAAAAAAAACACACAGCTAATCTCCCGCCACTCAATTATTTAGGAGACTTGAGATTCCCTGCAGGCACAAATTAACCAGCATGTTAACCCTTCATATTCTGAGATTAGAAAGTCACAGATGACCATTTAAAATAATGTCATAGTGTTCCCTTAGGAAATCCAGTGGGCTATACTATCTATACTATCTCTTTGTGTTGGATTTAAAGGGAATCTGTCAAGATTTCATTTGTTAATTTTTTTAAAAACTAATTGTAGTGTTTGTGGGCTTACAACAAATCCAAATGCGTCATGTTTATTTATGTGAAATTGTGTACCTATGTACATATGTTGCTATGTTGTTTTACGTTGTATGAAATATCTTCTAGTTTATCATCTTTAAATTCACAACACTTGGGTAATGCCAAGACATATGTTAGGCTGAATAGTATACAAAATACCTCAACCCATACAGGGAATGGGCAAATCATTGGAAGGAAGACAGTGGAAAGGGAGGAGGGTTTTTTTCCCCTTCTTTTTAAATATACTGAGGGTAATGGGTTAACTAGACATTGTAGGCATAAACATATCACAAAACATATTTTGGCATTTGATAATTGCATATGTATATATTATTATTGGTATTTAGATAGCACTAACTTATTCGACAGTGGTTTACAATATTATAAAGAGGAAAATGTAACAGTACAGAAGACAAATGCAAATTGTTACAGGAACAATAGGTTGATGAGGACCCTGGTCGAAAGAGCTTATAATTTATATATGTGCATATTTCTGCTTGTAATGCACTGTGTTTGAATTTGTGAGTATAGTGAGTCTATACAGCTTTGTAGAGGGATGCAGGCTTAAAGATAATGTCAGTAGTGGTTAAGGTAAAGGGGCGTTTAAGGTTTGAGAGGGACTAATGTCAGAGTTAATTCATATAGGGTGAACTAACAATGAGATGGGGTACACTTGTGGTATAAGTGGTGTTTAGAATTATTGAGTTTACCGTTACATTTAGAATTTGGGTGCAGCTGGTGATTAGGATTATTGTGTTTAGGATAAAATTTGATAAAATGTTGTATTTGGTTACATGAGTTGTTTAGTTTTAAAGAGTTAGACCTAGGATTAAGTTAAATATATTTTCTTTTCAGGTTTAGGCTTTGAATGCTTAAGTGTGTGACTAAGTAAATGGTTTGTTTAGGTTTTTGGAGGGATTATATTTTTTTGGTGACAGAAAAGGGGTCTTTAGGAGAGTGGGGTTTGGAGGGTTATTTGCAAAGTCTTCATCCTTCTATGTGTTTTGAGTCCAGTCAGTGTTGTATCATTGATACTAGAATTACAGTAGCTGTGTACAGTGTTGTCCTATGATAAAGAGTATGCATCACTCAATGCTGTCCCTGCTCCTCCTTCAAGGCATTTCCTGTGTGACAAGGTGTAAGTGGCCAGATGGAAAGTGATCTCTTCCACTTCCTGTCCAGCCTCAAGCACAGAAATTGGACAGGCTGGGACAGCACTGTGTTTTATACAATCTACGTCTCTTCCTGCAGCTCTGCTAACAAGACAACAGAGGACACTGGGAAGAGAGACCCTCTGGGTCAAAAGTGAGAAAGCCCCTAAATAGAGTTATATGTATGTAAAACGTAACTTTTAATAGTAATTATAAAAAACATACACATAATTAAAAGACAAGAAAGGTCTGAAAAAATTAGGGAGACCAGAGAGATAGATTCAATGCAGGTAGAGGAATAATGGCAAAATCTCTAATACTGAGGCCACATACGTGGATCTAAAAAATGGACAGAAAAGCCCTTCCTTGGCTGATCTCTCCCTTAATGTTGCTAACTGTGATATAGACAGCTGGTTCAATGGTTGCTTAAATAGCACTGACTACATGTAGTGCTGGGTTATGGCAACAAAATGATACCTATGAACATTGTATCAATGTAGAGTGGATGTCAGAATATCCAAATGACAGAGTATACAAAATATCCCTTGAGGCAAAATCGCAGAGTGGAGGGCATAAGGCACCCCCTTCCCATATAGGGAGTCTGTACATATAGATACCAACCCACCCACTTGAGTAACCCAGATCTTAAGCTCAGATAATACCAAAAGACCACACGAAGTAAGCCAGAGAAAGAAAATAAACCCTAGCCAAAAATCCTCGAGATAGCTGTTAGCTCTCTGATATTGTCAATAGTGAGAGATATAAATTAAGGAAGAGATCGCTAATCTTACTGCCTATAATCAAAATTACTGGTCTCCCTGCCTACTGCCTAACATATGTTTCGGCGCTATAGAACGCGCCTTCTTCCGAGGCTTAGCAGACCTCAAAGTGCACACAAGGCTGTTTAAATAACCAAGTGCCGCCAGTAGGAGAATGGGGGCGTGTGCTTACTGTTCGCGCCAAAATGTTTAGCCCGAACAGGCCACGCCTTCAAGTTCACTTGGCGGCAGGTAATTGGGTAGCGTCATGCATTTGTAGACGCGTATGAACAAGAAAGAGAGAGGGGGGTGTGTGTGTGTATGTTTGCTGGCCAAGGCTCCAGGACGTAACTTTTCAATATATCTACTACAGATGCTAAAACTCTTATATTTAGCAAATTCTATAAGTACTTAGAAATTGCCTTCTGTGGGAAATCCAGGCTAGAATATGACACTTTGTGACTGGCACGGGGTGTACTGTTTTTGCTTAGGGCAGAATGCTGTTTTCAGGATCCTAAATTGATCCCGGTGATGTTCTTGCAATACAAATAACCTTTTCCGCTACCAGTGTAAATGACACCATAGGGTAAATGTGCCTATAAGTCACACTCTCTATAAAAAATGCAATGATAATACAGTTAATACATTTAGGGTGCCGGGGAGATGGGACCACAAATGTGTTCCCCTCATGAT